GGCATAATTGTATCTAATCATGGTGCTAGACAAATGGATACTGTACCAGCTTCAATTGAAGCACTTCCTGAAGTGGTTAAAGCGGTGGGTAATGATCTAATTGTGATGTTAGATGGTGGTATCACACAGGGGAATGATATTTTCAAAGCATTAGCTTTAGGTGCTAAAATGGTTTTTGTCGGCCGCGCCGCACTCTGGGGTCTGGCATGTAATGGACAAAAGGGTGTTGAAGACTTGTTAAGTGTTCTTAAGAAAGATCTTGAAATTACACTTGCTTTAGCTGGTTGCCAAAAGTTAAGCGATATCTGCGGTGATATGGTGGCATATGAGTCCACTTATGCCAAATTGTAGAAAATATTTGTAAACATATAATATTAACTACTGGAATAAAAATTGAGAATATCTAAAAATTAATGAGTTTCAATAATGTTATTACCACCTTAGCTTATCACTGATATTTGGATTCAGAAGTGGTACTCAAATTTCCTACACAAGCAGTAACTGATGTATTTCGGATACGACAATTTAGATTTTTTATATTGTCTAAGTTCTTCTATATCGTAAAGCTTGTCATGATAGTACACAATTTTATTGTCTGGTTACGTACTGATTTACTTACAATTTTATAATATAGCATTCATAGCATAACATTTTGTGGATGAGCAAAGTATGGGTTATTCTGCACTACTGAATTGATAACTTGCCTCTCCTTATAGGGAATAAATTGCGAAGTGAAGTCCCGTATAGAACAGAATTGTACTGTTTAATATTAAAGTACTTGGGAGCATAAACTCTTATTACGAACACTCCGGAAGTTCTAAACCCTTAAGAGCCTGATAACTCCGATTCATTCAAAATTTTTATATATATAATTGTCGGTTACAAACAACATTTTTTACAGAGTGTTTTATTGAAGGGGTCCCTCGATGCACTCTTACTCAAAGCAAAATGTAAATGACTACAAAGCTCACACACAAGTGGCGACTGAGCTAAAAGATAATGCATATTCATACAGTATAACTTTACAAAAGCAGGCCAGGCGTTTAAGGTTAAGTTACAAGGTGGTGAAGTTATTGCAACATATAATGGTAATATTCCACTGATCTTGGTTAGCCAACGGGTGTGGGCTCATTTTTTTTTTTTTTTTTGTTTTGTGTTCGCTAAGTCAATTGTAACAAAACCATCCGATACTGCCGTAGCCACTTTAAGCAAACACTAAACATCAGTGGATAAGTCTGTCTTCCAATCTTCCGATCAAGAAGGTGACATGTTCTCTGGCAGTATGGATTTAAAATCAACTCTGAAGAAAACATAAAACTTTTATATTGTCTAATAAAAAATTTAGGGCAAATTTTTTTTTTGCCATACAAGTGCTTGGAATTAAACCATTTATCGAAAAATGTAAATAGGTGTTGAAAAGACAATTCATTTAAATGTATAAGACATACATATAAGCCAATTCGAATTCAAAACGCCGTTCTATCCCATTTAAAACATCTGTGTTGGTGTTTTCTCTATCACTATTATTCTATATCTATTATTTAAACGGAAACCCTTTCCACTAAAAACCCCTCCAAGCTGCCTTTGCTTGCTAAAACCATCTTCATCTTGTACTTTAACATACCCCAATAGCTTTGAGTTTCGTCTCTGTCGTATATGCAAAATTTTTCGCGAAATTCAAAGTATTGATGCAAGTCAAAAATATACATCGATGTTTTTATCCGATATGATGCATAGAAATATTGCATCGATGCACCGTATAACCCTTTCAGAGCTAGCTATAACAATTGTGAGATCTGGTTTTAACTACAGTAAACTACCTAAAAAATTTATTTTTCATGTGTTAACCTGCAGTGATGACGTTGAAGCAGTCCTAGACATTTTAGATCAATCATTAATCTGATATAGACTTCAGTGATGATGATGACAATGTAGATGAAACTTGTACTCCGTTTAACGTAAACGCTGGTGGAGAAGAAAGCAAAGAAACAGAAACTTCGCGGGCCCAGCGGTCATACAACCGTCATCGAACGCCATACCTAATCCACCTCCCAGGAGAGAAATTTGGAAAAATGCACCCTTTCCGAACACACAGCTTCCTATGAGTTATGGTTGAAAAAATCAAAAAAGGGTGAAGACACCTTTCGAATACTTAAAGAATTATTTTCCGGAATGCCACTATGAGAAGTAGGTCTTGGCTAATCGTGGTCAAGAGGCTCGTTATGTAACAGCCGATATAAAACGATTTTACGGGTGTGCAATCATAATGGGCTGCATTGGCTACCCTGCTATAAGAAATGCAAAATTCCTGCCATATTTAATTCAATGTCTCGAGACAAATTTCTCCAACTACGGACAGACATACACTTTGTAGACTTTTCTGTTCCAGATTCCACGAACAAATTTTGGAGAGTTGAACCCATCATAGTCATGGTTAGGGAGCCCTGCAATGAATTGGCAACTGATATCACAAACTACTCGATTGACGAGCAAATGATACCATTCACTGGAAGATGCCCTGCTCGGCAAGTAATCAGATCAAAACCCCGGCTTACTGGATTAAAAATCTTGTATTCGCAACTTCTAATGGCATTGTAGTAGATTTTGAAGTCTTCCAAAGGGCAGCGACATTTGAAACTGCGGTCTTGGACATGGGCCATCTATAGTTATGCGATGAATGAAAAACTTACCGAAAGGCTGCCAAATATATTTCGACATGCCTACTACAATATCACTCATAGAATCGCTTTACCAAATGGATTATCCTGCAACGGGTACAATAATGGCAAACAGGATACCTAAATGTGTTAAATTCCCTCTGGATAAAGATATGAATCGAGGTGATATATGCCAGTTTATAAATAATAATAAC